TAGCGAGGCGGTCTGGTTCCCCGCCCCCCAGAGAGGGCCGAACCCTTCTACCGTGCCATTGGTTAAATGTTAGAGCACAATGAATAACTTGGAGCAAATAAGATTCAAACTTCAGCATCTTTAATTTGTCAGAATAGCTTGTGACGTTCTTGTGTTCAGTCCCTATTCCAAACTGTTCGGAGAATACGTTCTAGGAATTCACAATCTGTAGCATGGAAGCAGTGCAATTTTAGTGTTTAAAATTCAAGCTATGTGGGTAAATTTGGAGCATTGGTTCTGTTTCCTGACTAACATGACTCCTACAGTGGGGTTTCAATGTAAATACTCACTTTTTGGAGTAGAGTCCTTCCGGTGAATACTCTTTAACAGTCATTTAAAATTGTCAATTGCAGCCATTATTCCTGTCAGGAAACACAGTTGCTATAGTATTCATGGAGCATAGAAGCCAAAGGGAAGTGATGCCAGAGAAAAAGGGAAATAAGTTTCTTTCTGCAAAAGGTGCCCTGCAAATCTGCCTTCGGAGGTTATGGTTTAAATCAGGAGTTCCCAGCCTGGCATGTTGTGAATAGGTGTTGGGAGTGGGATGAGGGGGCACATCCACCCTGTCCTTCCTGGTCACACCACAAATGCTAGCTTAGCCGAACCAGGGTGAGGCAGTCTTGCCATGGATTGGCTGAAGGGCCAGTCTGGGCACCAGTGAAGTCAGTTAGAACCACAGAGCACGTGTCTCTGTAGCAACAGGAGAGGGGAGAATTCCTGCTTGCTTGCGGGTGGGGTTGGTTAGAAGTGTTGCACAGCATCAGAGAAGCTGGCTTGGAACAGAGAATTTCTCTGGCCATATGTTTGTTACCATAACTGGCCTGGGGTGGGGATCAGTCGTCTTCCAACAAAATTCCCAGTGACTTCAGGGGGGCAAGATCAGGCTTATGGCCATGTGATGCTACTGGCAGGCAGGAAGAGAGTGACTTATATAAACTGTTCAGGCTTTTAGAAAACCCCAAAGGCTCCAAGCCAAGGTCCCTAATCTCATTGGTTTCAGAGGCTCTAATTAACAACGGGATACCTTTGAAAAGCTCCTCTTGATTTGGCGGGGGTGGGGGGAGAGAGCCTCTATTTCCAGGGTCCCATTTTAAAGGTGATTTCCCTGCATGCCAGCCAGGGCTACCAAGCCAGTTTCCTCTTGGACTGGTTATCCCTTTTTCAGTACTCATATTTCCTTAGGCTGGTTCGGTGATGTTTTTTCCAAACAGAGTAACTTTAAACGAGATAAAATCATAGCAAATCCAAAAGGCTGCCTTTGACTGCGGCTTACTTTGACAGCTCGGTATATATGCCTCTTAAAGATGTCTTTACTTTTAGATGATGTTCATGGAAATGATGGCCCCAAACAGAAGGGGTGACAGTCGCAATGAAGGTAAGTAATCTGGGTGATTGACTCTTCGTCACTCAGAGGTTTGATGCATATCGTTGGCAGCCCAACAGACAAGATTTCTCTTACCCCCTTAACTACCATATAACCACCCTAACCTAAGCATAGGTGTTTTGAATTCTTGATATACTCTTGAGGCAATGAGGCTAGGGTGAATGATCTGATTGGAACGGGGTCAAAAAAACCCCTGACTTACTGATCCAAGGTGGGGGAAGCATAACTTGAGGGAGTGGCCAATGTCGAATGATAGCGATGCGACCAGACTATCGCTACCTTTCACAGGGATGGGAGGGCGTGTAATTCTGAGAGCGTGGAGAGGGGAGCAATCTCAGGCAGTGGTGAGACTTGCATTCTCCCAGTGCCCACGAGCACAATCTCTTTCCAAGCTTCCCCTGGGTAAGTGTTCTGGAATGGAATATCGATTTAACCTTTTCAAAATTGGTTTTGGGCTGAAACTCTTTGCCAAATTTGAGCTGAATTCATTAATAGCATTTTTGGGGTGAATTTACTCTTTGCCCAAAACACTTTACACCTGCTAGGCCAATGTTTAATAGCATGGTGTATAGATCTCTCCATATTTACCTCAAGTCTGTACATCACGATGTTCACCTCATCAGAAGTTGGTATGTGCTTTTTCCGTATGGGGTTGGATCCCGACTGTCCTAACCGTTACTCGGATGCTTTGAGGGGATGTCCTGCTCAAACTGTACATGAGAATGCTGAAGGGACCCACTAACATCTCATGTTCTTTTCCAAAAGCTCAACTTGCTCCTGAGGCCTTCTCTGCAGGGAGAAGACGCCAGAGCTATAAAGCTCAGCGCCAATCCAGTTAAAGCCAACTCCTACGCATTGGAATAACCCCACTCAGGTAAATACACTTGCTTGAATGTGCCTTCTCTCAAGGTATGTCCTGGGACTTCAGAGGCTGATTGCTTAGAATAGATGACCTCCTGGGAATATAGGAATCCATAAACTGTGACTTGGCTACTAGTGTGCTAGAAGCCAGCCTGTCCTGGGAATTTAGGGTACGTCTACACAAGCAGTAGCCTACGGCAGTGAGTCTCAGAGCCTGGGTCTACAGACTCGAGCTGACAATAGCTGTGTAGATGATGGGGCTCTGGCTCTGAAGCCCGCTCTGGGATCTGAGCTTGAACATCTGCAGCTATTTTTAGCACTACAGTGCGAGCCCCAGTCTGTGGACCCAGGCGCCGAGACTCGCTGCTACTTGTACAGACTTTACTGGTGGGAATGCCAATGAGACAAGCAAGAATGGAAACAGCACTACCGCTGTGTTACTCAGGTAAAAAGAAATGCTTGCAGTTCTACAACGCAACGGCCACATTAAGGGAACACCTTCATATGATGTGCTGTCTAGTCCAGTGTGGAAATGAACTAATAACTAATGAACACTAAACTGAAGTGTCACAGCAAGCAAAGAAACGATATGAAAAGATGGAGTTTGTCTGTAGCCCATCCAGTCTGCTCTCTCATCCAAATGTAATGGTTTGGCAGTCTCTTTAACTGCCCCCTCTCTCGTCCCCCCACATTTTCTGTGAGCCTGGCAGGCATTCAGGACTGAATAGCTCCATGGACAGGTAGTGACTGGAGGCCACTGTGATCAGATAGCTTTTGGGGAGACTGTGTCATGATTATGGGTTTAATCCCCTTCCACATCCCCAAAACCACCCCCACAAATAAATCCTTGACTCAGCAGGCTAGAATGAACTCTGGTGTTCACAGACCTGCACTCTTCCATCTCTACAACATTTATCGACCTGTCTTGGTTGATACAGGGGAAATTTCTGTCAGCAATAAAGCACATCGTGTATAGTTAGGGCCTTTTCAATTGACTTTGGCTCTGGATCATGCCCTTGTTGAGATGTCTCATGTGAGGGCACATCTTAAATGCTATCTCTCTCTTGGTGAGTCGTGACTGTGTTCCTGCTGTGTAGCCATGTTTGATTCAAATGCACACACAGGTACAACTTGGCAGCCATTCAGACTGTTCTAGGAATAAAGGCTAATGTAAAGCTTAATCTAGAGCTGCAGGGCGGTCTAGTGGCTGGAGCACTGGAATGGGAACCATAGAATCATAGAAGATTAGGGTTGGAAGAGACCAACAAGGTCATCTAGTCCAACCCCCTGCTCAAAGCAGGACCAGCACCAACTAAATCAGGGGTTCTCAAATCAGGGGGTCATGAGGTTCTTACATGGTGGGGGGGGAGTCACGGGCTGTCAGCCTCCACCCCAAACCCCGCTTTGCATCCAGCATTTCTAATGGTGTTAAATATATAAAAAAGTGTTTTTAATATATCAGGGGAGTCGCAGTCAGAGGCTTGCTATGTGAAAGGGGTCACCAGTACAAAAGTTTGAGAACCACTGAACTAAATCATCCCAGCCAGAGCTTTGTCAAGCTGGGCCTTAACCTGTAAGGATGGAGATTCCACCACCTCCCTAGGTAACCCATTCCAGTGTTTCACCACACTCCTAGTGAAATAGTGTTTCCTAATATCCAA